GGACTGCGGCGATGGCCTCGGTTTCATGTATGGTCGCCCGAATCCAGCATACGTGGTCGGCAGGGTCGATGGTGGCGACGGCTACTTTTTCCGTGCAGGCGACTTCCTTGGTGCCCAGCTGGTACACGGTCACGGGGACGTGCGTGTGGACCACTTTGGGCGCCTTGGGGTGACGCTTCAGCACGGGGACGGCGAGCTCGGTACCGACGTAGTTGTCGTTTTTTGGGCCCATGACAGCAATCGCAAGCTGACCCGTGGTACGCTTACCCTGCTCGAGGTGGTGTTGCAGCAGCCGTTCACCGCTCTCGTAGTCGTGGAGGCTGATACTGGGCTTGCACGTCTTGCCGTCGTCAGGAGATGCGGGTTCGGCGAGGACAGGGACCTTCCAAAAGGCCGGGTCCAAGGCGATGAATTGGGTGTCCGCAGCCTGAAGACGTGCGGACCCAGCTGGTGGGTGTGATGTGTCACCGCCAATGCGCTTAGGCTTGCTGCGCTGGTGGTGATCCAGCGTGTAGCTGATCTGGTTGGCGGCGCACATGCGGATCAAGGCACTGCCGAGCTTCTTCGTGTTGGTCTTGTGCATGTCGTACGTTGCCTGGAGCTCATCCGCGTTCAGCTCGGCAAGCCCGTTGTATGCGGCCGTGGGGCGGTCAGACCCCGCTTGCTTGAAAGCTGCGATGCAGTCCTGCTTGCGTTGGAGGAGAGACCCTTCAGCAGCAGGACGTGAGCTCGGGGGCTGCTTGGAAGAGCGACGGCGCTCCGGCTTACTGGGGGCCATTGCTGCGGGCGCTCTGGTGGGGAGAGGTGACGCGAATCAGTAGGGCCCTGCTGGGACCCCTCCGGTCTCGCGAGGCCTGGGAGTCTGACTCCGAGGCGGGGCGCTTCGCGTCGCGGCTGCGGTCTGAGTGCTGGGCACTCTCGAGCCGAGACTAGAGAGAGAGAGAGAGAGAAAGAGAGAGAGAGAGAGAGAGAGAGAGAGAGAGGGAGAGAGAGAGAGGGAGAGAGAGAGGGAGAAAGAGAAGGAGAGAGAGAAAGAGAAAGAGAAAGAGAAAGAGAGAAAGAGAAAGAAAGAGAAAGAGAGAGAGAAAGAGGAGAGAGAAAAAAGAAAAAAAAGAGAAAAAAAAAAAAAAAAAAAAAAAAAAAAAAAAAAAAAAAAAAAAAAAAAAAAAAAAAAAAAAAAAAAACAAAAAAAAAAAAAAAAAAAAAAAAAAAAAAAAAAAAAACGCACACACACACACACACACACACACACACACACACACACACACACACACACACAAAAGAAAGAAAGAAAGAAAGAAAGAAAGACAGACAGACAGACAGACAGACAGACAGACAGACAGACAGACAGACAGACAGACAGACAGAGAGAGAGAGAGGGGGGGAAAAAAAGCGCATACATTTCGCCACCCCTCGCAAGGATCGCGGCCTCCGATGGGGGGGGGGCCGCCAGCGACGACCCCCCCCCCCCCCCCCCCAAGAGGCCCCCGAGAGCCCCCCAAGAGGCCCCAGGGGGCCCAATATGCCGCCAAGGAGCCCCAAGACGCCACACAGAAGCCCCCAAGACGGCCCCGAGAGGCCGCAAATAGCGCTCCAGAGCAGGCGGGATGAGCGAGGCGATTAAATAAGCTGCAACGCTGGGGCCATGTTGTCTGCAGAGCTGCGCACCTGGCGTAACTCGCCCAAAAACAGCTTGACCACATAAAAAAAAGAGACGGATGACATGTGCCACTGCCCCGCCCGTGCCGCAGTGATGCATCAACCATAGTAGGGCTTCCAGCGCGCCTTGCAACTCGCCCGCGCTGTTGCTCAACCTGACTACACCCACGAATAAAGGGCCCCTCCAACAAGTAGTCGTCGGACCGCACATCTGCAACCGAGGTGTCTCACAGACCTCCGGCTGACCATTGCGAAGCAAAGCAAATCCCCAACCGCGCTGCTGGTCGAATGCCCGCCCCCGCCCTGCCCGCACGGCAATGGTTCGGAAGTGGCTGTCGCAAAATAAACCGAGAGCCGCTGTTGAAGACCGCTCCTGGAGATAACGGCATGCACGCTCTGGGCGTTCGCGTCGATTCAAAATGTCAACCTTGACATCGGCGGCTGAAGATGGCGTCCAACATAACCGCTTCTTCGGCAGAACTGCGTCGCCATCGCCCTCCCAATCGACTTCGAGCCCTCCGAACACGCGGCTCCTAACGCGCAAGGGAAAGCGGTCCGACGCATACGCCGTCGCCGCGCTACCAACTGCAACGGTTCGCCGAAAAGAAAGGCCCCGAAGCAAGATACAATCGCTCAGCCCCAATCGGCGCGCGCCCCGGCGGAGAAACAAGTCGCTTACATCGTCGCCCTGTCCGAAAACACGCGCGGGATACAACGCGGAAGGCATCGGGGCAATGTCGAGGGCAACGCGGCGACCACGGGTGCGACTAGTGGTGGTGCCAGGATCCCTTGTATAATCATGTGCCGAATGAACCAACTACATTGCTGCCGATCCGAACTTCCAGGGCATGTCCGCGGGGCTTCTGCTGGCGCACCCTCAACACGGCCAACACTTTTTGATTGGTGCTCAATTGAGTGCAACGTCGCATCGCGATGACTACCGAGATAGTTTGAATGCCTTGCAACATGTTTTACATTGGGGGCCACGTGGAGCCAGTGTCACGTGACGCGTCGATGCCAATGCTACACTGGAAGGCTCGGGTTGCAGTCTGGCGGGCTCGCACACTGGGATTACTCCGGCGGCCCACCCATGGAAAGCCGCCATGCTGATGGAGCTCATGCGCGCTGAAGGTTTACGGGCAGAGAACACTTTCGGAACCGAAATGAAAGACTAAGGATTCGAGCCCTCGCCCATGGGCGTGCAAGGGCATGCGTAGAACACAAAGGACTCGAGCCCCAGTCGACAAGATGGCCATCGGAGGCCCAAAGGAGCTCCGAGACGGCCCAAAGAGGCCACCAAGACGGCCCAGAGAAGGCCCAGACGGCCCGGCAACGCCCGACCACGGCCAAAGACGCCCAGCATGCATCAGCAGGGGACGGGCTGTCCGCTGCCCCTGTTCTTGCTCACCATTGCGATGGCGACGCGTCTCGCGAACGCGCACGCGCTGCTGCAGAGACGCGCCGGACCGACACCTGAAAATCGGTCTGCGAGGGAGCTCGTGCACGCGGACGACACGTTGCTCATCAACTCGGACCCGGCCCTCGTTCAAGCGCTGATGAGCTACATGCAGGAATGCGGGGGCCACTGCGGGCTGCAGTTCAATTGGGGCAAGCTGGAACTTATGAGAGGGAGGACTGCAGCACATGTCGCCGGACGAAACGAGGTCCCCATCCCAGCCAAGCAGTCATTCATCTATCTCGGGGCCTCTCTTTCTGCGGACGGGCGAACAGGCGCAGAATTGAGTCGGAGAATTGGGGCGGCCAGAAGTGTCTTCAAGGCGTTGGCAACAATCTGGTTGAATTCGACTCTGACTAGGGAACAGACGCTACGCATATTCAACGCTTGCATTACTTCCAAACTTACATCATATGTATTATGCACTGCTTGTCTTAACCAAGCCGAGCGAAGACGGCTCGACGGGCTCCAGAAAGATTGTCTCAAGCGAATTTGCAGAGTCCACCCGTGGTACATCAGTCGGGCGTCGGTTCGGCTGATTTGCCACAGACGGATTTGAGCAAGAGTCTCGCGCTAGCAAGGTGACGTGCATGGGCAATCTGGCCAGAAAGCCGGGCGATTATCAAGTCAGAAGCTCGGTATTTGAGCGGTCTGGCTCTCAAGAGCCTCCTGGGGCCTGGGGAAAAGGAGAGGAGGCCTCCCGAGAAAGTCTTGGGGGCACATGCTGCTGGAGAATTGTGAGAATGTTGGCGGCTCCCATGAGCGACTTGCTGACTGCTTCAGCCGAGAAGGCGGTGCAGCTCGCAGGTGGTAGCAGGCGTGTTCAGGGCATCCGCTTCCGTGTACAGCTTCACCCATTGCTCACGCGCTGTGGCCGGCGCGCGGCTTCTGGACTTGACTGGACTGGATCTGACGAGTTGAACCTGCGCCACTTGCACCTGAGGGCCTTGCGGCTACAACGAGCGCAGCGCAAACGAAAATGCTGTGGTTCAGGTCCTGCGGACGGTTTGTTCTGGCAGTGAAGGGCTGCATAAGCCATATCCACTGTCGGTGCCGAGCGGGTTACAGCCTGGGCCTCCGAGTTCGACGCGGGCCCCCGCGGAGGCCTGGCCTTGGGCGGACGCTGCTTGCCTTCGCCCTTGGGCCTACTGAGGATCTGAAACGACGGGGTTTCCTTGTACGGCGTCGTGTTGATGTGTCCCTTGGATTCTCGTGCTGACCCCATACATTGCCACATGACCTTGCCATTACGAAGATGCAGCCTCTGCACCGCCTTTGTGTATGCTCCAACTGAAGGGATGTGGGCCTGCAGGCTGACGCGGAAAGTGGCAATACAAACAGCTAGAACTGCGAGAGCGAAGTCAGAGATGGGTCACCTCTGGCTGGGCGGCTTTCGGAGAGGCTCCGATTATAGGATAGTTCACCCTGGATCAAGCTCGAGACAAGATGACTTGAGCCAAATGGCTACGGACTTCCTCCTCCTCCCTCCACCTCACGTTCCTCCTCCTCCTCCTCCTCATCATCATCATCATCATCAGCATCAGCATCAGCATCAGCAGCAGCATCATCATCTTTCCTCCTCCTCCTCTTCTTCATCCTCCTTTCCCTCCTCCCTCCTTTTTCCACCGCCTCCTCCTCCAATCTATCATCATCCATCCTCCGCCCCATCATCCTTGATGGTCCCTCTTCCTCCATTCTTCCCCCTGCGCCGCTTCCTCCTCCTCCTCCTCCTCCTCCTCCTCCTCCCTGGGCTGTCCCAAGAGACCTCTAAGAGGTACCGACTTGCAGGTGCGAGCCGTCGGTGCGATCCCGATGGCCTTCGACAAAGTCCCAAAGTGGCGCGACCTCGAGCCAGGATGGCGCTGGCGGCGGGGGCGGGGCGGTCTTCATCAGTTTGCGCCTCTGGGCCAGCTTGTTCGCCTTTCTTTCCTGACGTGCGCTGGGGCCCGTGGCGCGCGAAGCCAGGGCGAAAGTCCGCGCGGACATCGAAGGAAAAGAGAGAGAGAGAGAGTGAGAGACAGAGAGAGCGAGTGAGGGGGTGAATGAGAGAGACAGAGAGACAGAGAACAACAAAAGACAATAAAGACAATAAAGAGAGAGAGAGAGAGCGAACCGTCCATCCGACCGTGGAACTCGCCCACGGCTCGGACGGCTCCTGAAGGAGGGGGCCAGGCGGAAAGAGGACATAAAGGAGGCGTGCGGGCCCCGCGGATACGGAGGGGAGTCTGGCCCGTGGCACCATGTGTCGAGTAGGGGATCGAGTACAGAATTGCTTTATCCCAGAATTGATATCTCCGTCGGTGCTGAGACCATGCGTAGCATGCTCCGTAGATCTAGGAAGCACTCTACGCAGCTCCGTAGATCCGACGGGAAAATCAATGTTCGGGCAAATCAACTCTGCAAACGATCCCCGACTCGAATGTGCTGACCGATGTTGGAAAGACGCAGGCGATCCAGGTGACCGCAGGGCCGCGCGGCAGGGCGTGCCGTCGCCCCCGCGCCAAGGGGGGCGGCGCGAGCGCGCACGGCGACGAGGGGCGCGCGCGCAGCCGCACCCGAGGCCAACCGGCGCGGCCTGGGCACCACAAGCGGGGCCTCCGCCGCGGGGGCCCCCTGCCGCAGCGGGCCGCAGGGCCCCCGCCAAACCCCTGAGGACCGCCCCCATGCAGAGGAGGGGGGCGGGGGGGGGAAATTTCATCCACGATCAGTGAGGGCAAAACCGGCGGGTGACTGGCTATCACGTGCCTGCAGAAGAGGAACAAGCAGCGCTCTTCGCGGCTTCATCCTTTGCCTGAATATTCGGCACAAGCGCGGCCATCCGGTCAGTCTGATGTAGCGAACCCATGGCTGGCTGCCAAGTCGCCGCCTCAAAGAGGGGACAGGAAGGGAGGGCCCTGCTTTTAGAGCCGCCCTGGCCTTCCACCCAGAAGACCCCCACGATGCAGGATCACATAGCTCATGGACAAATCAAGCGAAACCGTGGTTTGGCAAGGAACGGCGCACCATTTGTGCAATTGCTGCGCCTTCTAACGGATCAAAGAAACGAAACAAAAAAGTCTACCAAAATCCCCGTTTTGGAAAACAACCGCGCTCGATCTACGAACAATTTGAAACTGTTGGCCATGCAGTAAGACCGAAAACAATCGCACCTGGAGAGCCATTTGGAAAAGAACCATCATCCATCCGCGTAGCTGGTGGAGAAAAAACTAAATTGGCGCGCGCGGCGCACTGGCGAGAGCCACATTTTGTAAACGTGCCTACCATTCGTTCACCCGCGTGACCATTTGAAGCTTGCGAAACAACTGCGCGCGCCGCCAAAACAAGAGCCAACATTGAAAACCGCTGGCCGTCCATCCGCGCGACCATGACAAAATTCTGCAACGGACGTGCACGGTGCAAAAATGATAACAACACGCTGGCAAAACATCGCAATCGTTTCGTGTCGCTGTTCGAAAATGTCAGTTCCATGATCACACGCAACGAGGTCACATAGTGAAAAGGAAGTTGACAACCTCCACCGCTGGGTCCAGGAGTTAAAGCCCTGAGCGGCAGTCAAATGTCCAACGACAGGTTGACCGCCGCAAGGACGTTCCCATTGGGTTCGAGACGTGGTGGTGGTCAAATACTTTTCGACGTCGACAGGAGGAACACCTGGCCCGCCCTACAAAACGCGCGCGGCGGTGCGGCGCGGAAGAATTGATTACATGGGTAATCGATGGAACAAAACAGAGAAGGAAGAGGAGGAAGGGAACTGGGAGAAAGAGGAAGTGGAATTTCGCCTCCCCCCGCTCGATATCACTGTCAAAACGCACACGCTGGGCGGCCGGCGCCGCCCAGCGGATCCGCGAAACGGGCGACGCAAGTCATGCCGGAGGGGGACACTGCAAGGGAGGCAGGCAACAGCAAGAAAGAGAAGCGGCAGGGCACTCTGCCGCGGGCGCCCATCTCACCCTGGCGGCAGCCAAGGGCCGCGCACGATTCAAATGAATCACAATAAACAAGCGAATGACCCAACCCAACACGCAAACACAACCGACGGGGAAATCGGAGCCCCAGGGTCCAAACAAAAACGAAGAACCAACAAGAGAGGAACCGGCGACGCGGGCGGCAGAACGCAAAACAACGCGGCAAGAGCGTGGCGCATAATCAGGAACCTGCGGCGCCGGCAAAAAAAAAGCGCGCACGGGCGCGCCCGCGCGCGACGGAGGGAAGCCACATTACGAGCGCCTCTCCTTGCGGAGCGGAGCCCGCTGGACGCCGAGCGAAAAACACCGACGCGACAGAGAGAGGGAGAGGGAGGGAAAGAGAAAGAAAGAGAGAGAGAGAGAGAGAGAGAAAGACAGAGAGAGAGACAGCCTCGGAGAACCCGACCAGCAGGCACGGGGCGGCCGCGCGGGGCGGCAGAGAGCGGCGGGCCGCGGGGCGGGGGCGGCACAGAGAGAGGCACAGAGAAAGGCAAGGCAGGAGAAGAGGAATGCGAAGCCAAGAAGATGGTCACAGGCCCTGCAACAGGCGTCGGCGCCAACCCTCACAGACCTCACGGGTGTCGCGGATGTTCCGCGATCAACAAGGCCAAGGCAGCGTCCTCAATGCGGTCGCGGATCTCCACCGTCTGGCGACGGAGCCACTCGTGGTAGCCGCGCGACACGACGGCGCGAGCGGCCTAAAAAAGTGCCCTGACGCACTGAGAACCCGGGGAAGCCAACGAAGGTCCAGCTCAGCACCAAGGAACGGACCGATGGGCCCTCAGCTCCGCGGAGCTCGCGAGGACATCGAACGAGGGCGGCATCCCGACTAGGGAACGGGCCCCGAATCGCCAGCCACTCCTCGGGCCAGAGGACCGCCGAACACAGAGGGGCGCAACAGGAAAAGAGAAAGGAAGGAGCAGGCGGCGAAGAACAGGGGGAAAAGGAAAAAAGGGGCGACGAAAGGCAAGAGCAGAGGACAGCAGCAGCAGGGCCAAAGGAACCGAGGGCAGGCAGGAAGAAAAAGGGAGGGAGAGAAAGGACAGGACAGACAAGACAGGGGGGGGGGCGACCACGGGATCCGAAATACGCACAGGGACAAGCACAACAAGCAAAGCAGGCAAGGCACATCACGCCCGAAAGGGCCCGCACATGGACAACACACCGGCCAATAAGCAGCGGAACACACACACACACACAATTCAGAAAACGGCCCAGTCAGCTAGATCTGGGGAGGGGGCAAGACTAATAAGCAGCAACAGTGGGCGCGAATGGAAGATGGGGGCCACGGGAAAAGAGGGGGCCAGGAACACGCAGTTAGGGAGGCGGGGCGGGAGGGGCCGCGGAATGGGCTCAACGGGGCACCAGAGCAATGAGCGCCTCCTGAAGCTCGGCGCGACGACGAACCAACTGCCTCGAACGAGCAACAGTGAGATCCGCACCATGGCCAGAAGGCCCCGTGCGCCTAACATTATGTGCAGACAGAAAACAGCTGATAAGCGCACGCCCCACGATGTCCCTGGACCGCGCCCATTGCGGCCCCAAGCAACACAGAGCCAGGAGCCAATCATCACCCTGAAGAGCTTCAGCCCAGGACAGAAGTAGCCCAGATCGAGGGAACATGCTCAGAAACATCCCCCTCAGCCTGAGGCGCTCGCGATGGTGACGTAAATCGTCGTCCGCATCGGACCCAGGGCATCAAAGGCACAACGCTGCACGGTAGTACGAAGCAGACTAGAAGTACACGCTCCACAGCAGAGGACTGGAAGAAAGCCAATGGCGACGTGGGCGGTCGCCTTACGGACCACAGCTTTCATCCTCAGGGCATGCGCCTGAAAGCGAGAGATACTGGACCCACCCGCCCCCGCCCACGCGCCAACCCTGGCCACCAGGGTGCGAGGGGGGCGACGAAGCTGGGCCATCGCCTCCTTCTGGAGCTTCTCCCCAGGGACGGGGGAGGTGGCAGGGGGGCGAGAACGCGCCCTGGCCAGGGCGAAGGGAGTCAATCGCTGAGACTCTGCGAATGCCAATGCTCAAGGAGAGACCAATAGCACGCTCAAGCGTGGAAAGAAGATGTAGAAACGGAGACAGCCTAACGATTCTGTTCTCAAAGCATAAGCACGGGTCATCCGCGCATGCCCTCATCCTCGGAACGTGCCCCGTCAATTCCACTCGCGCCAATATATGGCCAGAACCCGCGCGTAGGAAAAGAGGGCCATCGACGCTGCGCCACCCTGTCTAGCACCGCGGCAAAGTGGAAACTCTCGCGGCTGCGCTCCAGGGAAATCAATGACAGCGACGCCCTCGCGGAACGACTCCCGACAAAATCCGACCACTGGCCCGGGGGCGCCAGTCGCTTCCAGAGCAACATGAGCCCAAGAAATAATCAGAGACGGGAAAGCGGCCGAGACATCCGCGACAACGAATCCAGACATGCCCCGACCCACAAGCACCTGACGGAGCCCTACCACTTGACGTCCAACGCTGCCCAGAATGTCTAGTCCAGGGGCGCCACCCCTCTGCGTTGGATCATTGGAAACCGATGGAGAAAGCAACGCTAAAATAGCGGCATCCGTGTTCGCCAGAGTCAAGGGGCGAGTCTTTTCCAGGAGACCTGGCCAACTCTGCAGCGTTCCCGTCAGCCGTTACATCATTGGGCAGAAAGAACATTTTCTCACGGCCCACTTCAGGAGTCACAGAGCTACCAGACGACCCATGCATCTCACAATAAACAAGCAAAATAACAGTCGCACCGTCCGCCTTCCAGCAACCACGCGGAATTCCGTCTTCCCCCGGAGCCGAGCGTCGCCCGTGACGGACCCGACCACAGAACTCACCCACATCAAGACGCCAGCCCCGAACATCAGTGGCCGCGGGCTGCGCGCGTCCCAGGATTTCAAGCCAGGGGGCGCGGTCCCGGATCCGCCCAGCAAAAACACGCGGCAAAAGGTCAGCACAAACTTC